GAGAGAGAGAGAGATTTAGCAAATAGAGAGCAAAAGTCATACAAAAAAATGTGTTCAAAAATGTATTTCAGTTCAGATGAACGGCAAAAAAATTAAAAACGATTTTAAGAATAGATAACAACAAAAATGCTTTCAAAATAATTAATTTTTTGTTTTTTAATTTTCCTGTTTTTTTGCACAACGATTGAGTGAATAAACAGTAAGAAAGTGTATTGAATGAAGAGGTATCATAAGATTAGGCACCAAAACAATATATTAATGATATTTTTTCATGCTTTAATTATTATAAACTCGTTAAACACTCGTATATTACATATACAATTCAATATTAATAATATTGAATTGCATTCAATTAGCGCACAAACCGGTAGTTTTACATACAGTTATTGATTATTTATAATATAATGTAATTTTAATCTGATTTATAAAAAGTTTGATTAAAAATTTGCCGTTTTCTCCACCGAATCACTGCTTAAGGTGTGACCAAAGCTTTTAATACCATTAGATAAGGATATCATTTGCATTAAACCAAATATATTGGAACCGATATTTGCATGTAATCTATAGGTATTTAATGGCCGTTGAAAACAATGCTCTCGGCATTAGTGAGAGGGTAGGCATCGAGTGTGCGATTCTGTGTTATATAACTCAATACATAACACAGTAGTGTATAATTGAGTGCGTGATTGTATGGGCTGTAAGGGAACTGTTGGCCACCAAATGCCAGGCTATGTCTCTCTCTCTCTCTCTCTCTCTCTCTCTCTATGTTATTATTTTTGATGGTTATCTTTGATATTATTATCGTTTGTTTCTTTTGTTTAATAATCAGTTTTTCATTTTCATTATTAAATGAATTTTTGTTAATGAATTCACTAAAACTAATTGTTATGTATTATTATTTCACACACATTAACATAATTAGTATTTTAGACCAAATGGCATATAATGTCTTATTTAATTAAAAACATGTTATAATACAAAATTATAATGTATATTCATAAAGTAGTGAACAAATTAAGTTGAAATATAACACAAAATCACAGTATCTTTTAAAAATCCAGTCAATCTTGCATTTAAAAACCAAAATTCTAAATGCTTTTAAAACTCATTTTTACGTTAAAAAAGTTCAGAAAATATCACTTTATATATGGGAACACATATTTGATTGCTTTTCTGATTGATCTGAAAACCAATACTAAAACATTTAAAAGATAACAAAATAGATAATAGGATTTAATACTGTTTTATGCAAAATAAATTAAAACAATTTTAAAAACCTATGGTTTTTTAGTTGAATCTGAGTTTTAATTGCAAATCGTTAGGTTTAATACACTATAGAAAATGTGATGATGTGTTCAACAGATTTCAATCGCAAACATTTGTACCAATCGTGACACAAGATTTATGCCTTATATCGGCGTATAGTGCAGTATAATTATATTGAATTATCTAACAATCCCTTTATATCCAGTATAAGTGAAAGTGTTTTTAGGCAAAGAATTGCCTCTAAATATAGCAAAAGTTGGATAATTTTGGCACGAATTGCAAAAATTCCGAGAAATTAATATACAATTCTTGTCAGACTCTGGCAATTATCAGCACTATATATACATATGGAGTGAAATATTATTGGTTTTTTATGGACCTCAGGCTATATCTGATCAATTTTGGTGAACTCTATTCTTGTGAGAAAATCCTAGATAGTTTTTATTTTATTATTTTAATAAGCTTTCATAATATAATTAAATGATTTTATGCTTTAATAGATTTTAATTGATTGATAACCAATTATACCTTTAATTATAAAATAATTGCAAGTATTTTTTGGTTAAAACTTTTTGATAAAAATTCAGAATATTTAAAATTATTTATAAAATATTTACTTAATTAGATAGATAACACTATTCTCACTATCAACAAGGTAAATAAATTATAATATACGATATAGATGCAGTATTACTACTGTATCGAAAATCATTTGCATACTAATCATTATACAAATAAATATTTTTTTTACAGAATTATAATAATTAGTATTATTATATTTCACAAATTAAAACTTAATAAAAAATGAAGGATATCGCAACTTTTATCTTGATGTATTACTATTATAATTACAAATCACAAAAACATATACCATTTAAAAGCTGCACAATATAAAACACAGTTACAAATATTTTTGCGAAATTTAATTTAAAAAATTAAATATAATTTCCAGTCAACGCATAGCAACTCAGCCGCTATTTTTATGGAGTTATAATAGGGATACTTAACATTGAAATTGCATCAGTTTTTTTGAAACACATTTAATTCTTACATTAAAAAATCTCATCCATCATTCTCTCTCTCTCTCTCTCTCTATGCTTTACGTATAGAGAGATTCTCCCCTATATTCCTGATCCCTCCCTCACGACGTAAAAAGTTTGTTGAGACGAATATANAATTGAAATCGAAAACAACAAACAAATAGTTTGTGGACTAAAAAATATGTTGTAAAAAATAGTGTCAAACATATCATGTGATGATTAAGTAGATTATCACATCTCTCTCTCTCTCTCTCTCTGTACTTATAGTACTGAATAATTTATTTCTAGTATTACATAAAATGTATTCAATACGTGATTTACCTCGCATTCAATTATTCGGTTGGAAATCCTTTTTTCATTTTTACTTTCATGAAATATTTTAAACTATATATTCGTCTCAACAAACTTTTTACGTCGTGAGGGAGGGATCAGGAATATAGGGGAGAATCTCTCTATACGTAAAGCATAGGGAGAGAAAAAAGTTTGAGATTCTTGTTTTTGACGTAACACTTAATGCATACACTGTTTTTTGAAGTTCACAAACACTGGTAATTACACTCTCCCTCTCATTCACTCACTCCCTCTTATCGGCCGACTCTCCCTCACACTCTCACTAACACACATACACTCTCTTCCCCTCTGCCTCTGGATCTTTGTGGGACTTTTTTCTCGGTTTTGGGGGTATATATAAATACTGAACACTTTATGAGTTTGGACTCACTTTTTAATATTTTTTTCACAATTCTTTCGCCGACTGTTTTAATCGTAAAATATTTTTTAATTTTTAATTTATAATTGAATTAAAAAAGTCGAACAATAGATCGAAAGGGAGTTTAAAAGAAGAAAGAAGTTTTTGGAAAGTTTTCTAAAACCTTTCAGAAACTTTTTTCTTTGGTTTTAGACTAAAAATTAAGTAATTAATAAGCAATTAGATAATTAATAACAAGTGCTTCGGCTTTACATAAAGTCAATTAAATCAAAACGTTATTTAATTATTAAAAACTTATTGTTTAATAATATTGAAAAAAATTAAAAAGTATTTAATATAAGAAAAGTCAAAAGAATTGGTGAAAGTTTTGGTAATAAAGTTTGTGTATATTCTTCGACCACAAGAAGAATAAAGATCACCAAAAATGTCGTACAAAAGAGTGAACACATATGTGGACGAAGAGTTTGTGATCAGTGGTATGAGTGGTCGGTTCCCGGAGTCTGATTCCACCGACGAATTCGCTGAAAATCTCTACAATGGAGTCGATATGATTACTCTCGATAATAGGCGATGGAATCCAGGTTTGTTTTATACATTTGTTTTTATTTTATTAACAATTTATTATTAATACTAATCTATCTTGTTAATAATTTTTATAAACCTAACACTAAACTTATATTTATATTATAAATCACAATATCTTTTTTCATATATTTTTATATAATTGTAAAAAACACAAACGTTAAGCAATCCTATGGATGGGCTGAATCTCTAAGATGTATATTTTTCCTTAAATTTTATCTCTTGGAATTTCGGTCCGTCTATAGGCTTAATGAATACATCGATTATTAATTTTGAAACTTTAATAATACAATTTTTTAATAACTGCTAATTTTCTATTGATTAATATAAAATTTTGTATTGATTAATATATTGCAATATTTATTAATTACATATAAATTAAATAGAATTGTACGGAATGTGTGGCCGAATGGGAAAACTAAAGGAAATTGACAAATTTGACGGCCATTTCTTCGGTATAATGAACACAATGGGCGACACAATAGACCCGCAGTCAAGGATTCTGTTGGAAACCACATACGAGGCCATTGTTGACGCCGGTCTGTTCACATTGAATTGCATTTAAGTTTTATTTTATTAATTTGAAACAATATATGATAGGAATAAATCCGCAATCATTGAGGGGTTCGGACACCGGTGTATATATCGGGTACTCATCGTTCGGAATGCCTGACGGCATACCAGAGGAGACACAACCGGACTCTCAGAGCAATATGACTGAGATCTTGCTTTGGGTTCCCGGAAACTCCAAGTGCTTATACGCTAATCGCGTGTCGTTTGTGCTCGACTTCAAAGGCCCGTCGCTTGTGATCGATACGGCCTGTTCTTCGTCTATGGTTGCCTTCAATGTGGCGATGAATGACTTGCGATTAGGTTTGCATTTCAAATAACTATTTACTATTATTTGTTTTAATAATAACATTTGATTTTTGAATTTGAAGGCAAGTGTCGTCAGGCAATAGTCGGCGGAACTAATATAGATCTTCAGCCGTTCACAAACCATATCTTTCAGTCGACTCGACTCAACTCAAAGGACGGCATTCCCAAAGTGTGGGACGAAAACGCGGACGGCTTTGCGAGAGGCGAATGTGTTTCGTGTTTATTCCTGCAACGAAAGGACGATTCAAAGCGTATTTACGCCACTATTTTGAATAGCGGTGTAAATATCGACGGAAACAAACGGATGGGAATGTTCTTCCCCTCATCCGAGAGTCAGGAGGATCTGATGATACAGGTCTACAAAGAGGCGGGAGTGGATCCGCTCGACGTTAACTATTTTGAAGCTCACGCCACCGGCACTAAGGTATGGATCAGTTTTGGTTAACGTTTGGTTTTATTGATAATTAATAAATTGAATTGAATTGTTTAGGTGGGAGACCCACAGGAGGCTAAGGCTATATACAACGCCTATTGTGGTAAACCTAAACGTAAGGGAACTCTACCGATAGGTCTGTTGAAGAGCAATATCGGTCACGCGGAGGGCGCTTCCGGCGTCTCATCCATTACTAAACTATTGCTCGCATATGAGAGGGAATCCATTCCGTCGTGTCTTCATCTCAACAATATTAAGGGCAATATTAAGGACTTTTGTCCACCTCTTGAGCCCATTAGAGAAAATTTCAAATACACTCCGGGTATGAATATTTGATTTAAAACAAATAGCCATAAGCTATAAGTGTATTGATTATGATGTATAGGCATCGCTGGTGTCAACAACTTCGGTGTGGGCGGAGTGAACGCACACATACTGTTTGAACCAAATTATAAGAAGAGTGATGACAACTGTCTGGCGATCGCCGAAACCATTCCAAGAATTGTCAACATTTGCAGCCGAACTCAGGAAACGCTGAACAAAATGTTTGACTACATTGAGAAGAATCCGCACAAAATAACCCGTGATTTTCTGGCACTCATTGCCGACACTATGAAAACGAAGCCCTCATTAAATTCTTGTGGATTTCCATATAGAGGTCTGGATTCCTCTCTCTCTCTCTCTCTCTCTCTCTCTC